CGCGTCACGCAAAAGCTTAGAAATTCAAGCGTCGTGTATCACAAAACCAAGAACCCATTCGGAGCGAAAATTTGTATGAATATTAGTTTTCAGCTGCTCCTATACATTATTAAAGTAAAATCTCAGGAATATCAATAGTTTTGTAGTTCGAATTTTAGTGACGTCATGTGAAAACCAGCTATATAACGCGCGCTCTGATAAGATTGTACCCGAGAGAGTGCACAATCTGTTCAGGTAATTGCACTGTAAGGTTTCCAGCAGCGCAATTTTATTAAACCTGCAACGGTACATGTATATCAGTTTCCTAAATAATGTGAAGGCTTGGGAACGAGACTGAACAGCCATCAAAGCAGGGCGAATTTTAAAAGAGAGGGATTTAACCACGTCTCTTTTAATCATCCTTTTCTTTTAAAGAGTAAACTACCTATTTACCTTGAGCATTCGGTCTTTACGGAAAACTCTCAAGCTTCGGTCTTGCTGTGTTTGCCCTCGCTATCCTTGGTTAACACAGCAAGACCTCAATCTCGGTAAATAATTAATTATAGTAAATAAGGTTCGCAGCTGCTCACTTCACAAGTTTGAACGCAATTTCTATACAAGTGATTTATATAAGTACTTGTGATTTTTTCTCGTAAGAAAGCTCGTGAAATGCAAGAAGCACTCTGCTTCGCCTCGAGTTTTTCTATGACTCCTGCCGTGTTCTTTACTATCTGCGTTGTGTACTTATATAAATCAACAATAACGATTCTAACTGCATAAACGTAGCCAAAATTTGAAGTTCTAGCGAAGGGAAGAAAACTGGAGTACTCGGTAAAAACCCTCGCAGAAAGGAAAGTTCAAACAGCTAACCCAACCTACTTATTACGCCGGCACCAGGGGCGCTTTCCACTCAACCAAAAGTTCCGAAAGTTTCGACGGGGATCAGTGGAACGGAAATTTTCTGGGAAAGTTGTCAGAAAATCCGGAAATTGTTGGAAATCAGTAAAGCGAACTATTCAATCGGGAGGAAGTCAATTGGAACCGAAATTCCCGGAAAGAAATTTCCGAAAATCTCGGTACATTCCTCGCAACGTTGTCTTCTTTTACGAAAACTGTTCGAATGGAAAGCGGCCCAGGATTTGAACCCAGACCACATAACCGGGAGGCGAGATTTCTAACCAATGACTGATCACTACTGAACCAATCTAAAAAATATAGAAAGAAAGAGAACCATTATAAATAAGCATAAAATACATGGCCACCTTAAGGGATTGATAATATTTTGTTTTCATTATCTTTACGCAGTGAAAATTCACATCAAGAAGCCGATAATAAAGGATACTTATTTACAGGTAAGGTACTCAGAGTGCTATAAATTGTTTTCTTCTTAGACTAATTAATAATTCATCAAGTTAAAACAAAGAAAATCACAACAGTGAAGGAGGTTTGGATACCTGGTATTAATGAGCATAGATTTTGACGATTTTACTTCTCTCACTCCTTAGTTTTTGTTTCAATTGAGAAGATATATCATTCACTTGGAACATGTTTTATCGGCTATCCAAACACCTCGAATTCCATCAAAAATACAGCGCTGCGCGTCGTATTTCAACTTTCTTCTTGATGTTTGGATATCCCGATGAAACACTGTCTCTCGTATTTGACATATTACATAAGAACTTGGAAGCTGAGATTGACCACATATCTGGGACAAAACGAAAAGCATGCACTCGTTTTTGCAACAAGCAAAAGAGGAACCTTTGTGAAGTCATCGTTTATATTTGCCTTCGTAGTAAATATAGGATTTGCGTAGAGAAGACATCTTGCTTGATAAGTCGTGTCGGGTTTCAGATTGAGGAAATGGAGGACTCCTGTTGGAACATTTCTTTGTTAATTTTTTTGTTTAAAGTGGCATTTGATTTTCTTCCCAGAACTTTTATGTGAAAATGACTACAAAGGGTAACAAAAAACCATTACTATGCTCCTCGGGTAAACAAATTACATATTTACATATTTATCATTTTTTTAAACTGTTCAAAGAGGCGACACCATCAATCAACCAAATCTCGCATGGTGATTGGCTAATAATGACTTTCGAAAAGAAGTTTGTTGGGTGGCTCGCGGCATAAAAACTGTTTCATCTATTACATCGGGGTCAAATTTCGTTAGACAGTTCATCAAGCTATGCTCTTTTGACATTTTTGTATCTAGGTTAGAAAGTGAGGCAATATTGTAAACAAAGATTCGCCGAAACAGTATTCCACTACTCCTTAAGAAGCCAGCAAAACAACAGTTACAATCTGCACAAAACAAACTAGATGTTTGTGCAAAATTAAAGAAAAGATCGTGCACGGTCCTGGACCTTCCTACATAAGCTAAATACAAATAAGATAAAATAATGAAGAAAATAAATATTAAATAATCCCACAAAGAAGACAGAAAAAAATATAATTAATTACTAAATTAGTTAATAATTTTATTATTTAATTCATCTTTCAAGCTTTGGTTAACTCCTAAAAGATATCATTTTATAACGGATATGAGAGCGCATTTCTTCGAGTGCAACCCCTAAAGATACCTTGACAAATATATAAAACTTGTGGCGTTTCGTCCTGAACACACAAAGTGAGACCAAAATCCGTAATTTGCACCCCTGAGCGACACGACGAGTGATCCAAACAAAAGGCTTTGAGTTTAGCTGCACTTTTTTCCCTTTGTAATGACTTCTACGCCGGTTTAATGCTGAGGTTTGAACCTGGGAATGGTACAAATTTCTCTTTTGCGAAAAAGGCTGTATCGCCAAAGATGTCTTTCAATGGCAACTGATAAAAACGTTGGCTCCAAGTTAAATTTAAATTGAGCCATACACACCAAGCTGTACATGCATTTTTGATTTTTACCAAAAATGAAACCTAAATATTTGCATTTTTTGTCAATCTCAGGATTCATTCACTCCAACACCAAGAGAGCAGCGACAATACGAGCGTAGAAAGCTGGTTGAGAAGTTCTGTGAAAAAACCGGCCAGAATGAGATGCCAGATCCATTTCACATAGCTGTGATCCCCTCTCTCAAAATACTATACTGTGTGATGCCTAAGGCGGCTTCTAGGCAATGGAGGAGAATGCTGTATCGCTTTAACAATGGTGGAGGTAGGGAGCTGCGATTGCGTGATTTTCCTCCCGATCAGCACAAGCAGATGTGGGAAACATATTTCAAGTTCACGTTTGTTCGTGAGCCGTTCGAACGTATTCTATCAGCGTACAAAGACAAGTTTGTTTATCCCAGACCATTTGACCGCCCAGTTCTTAAATTTCACGGCACAGCAATTCTGAAGAACTGCCGTCCAAATGCTTCCCAAAGCGCGCTTGAAAAGCTGGATGACATCACTTTTCGTGAGTTCATAGAGTATTTAGTAACCAAAGGAAGCAACAAGAGCACGCCTGTTATGGACTGGCACTGGGACAATTACGTCAACATATGTGGAATGTGTGCCATCAACTATGACTTTGTAGGTCATTACGAAACTTTTGATCAAGACTTAGCAGACTTCAAAGAGGCAGCAGAGTTATCGCCTGAAGTAGCTAAGAGATTCAATGCTCGTGCTAACAATAAATCCGATACCGCCTCCTCTTTACTCAGTTATTACTCGCAGCTTCCCATAGAATGGGTCGACATCCTGGGTCGGTTGTTCAGAGCCAACTTTGAGATGTTTAATTACGACTTTCCGGGACCTCTTAAGAGTCTGTTTGAGTAAAAGAAAAGAACACAGTGAGGATGTGATCATTTTGGCTTCTGTTTTTTTTTTTTTTTTTTTTTTCTGCTCTGCTAAGGTGGAATGAATTATATGGCTGCTGAGCATTCTGGATCCTAAAGTGGCGTGATTAAGGGTGCGTTTTAACTCATTAGACCTTACTTTAAAACCAGGAGCCATAATCGGGGACGGAGACCGTAAGCGCGCGCCATTTCAAGTATTGGGGTTGTCCCCATGATATGGGACAATAATTCTATTTTTA